ATCTACAAGGTCAGAGTTCGACAGAAGCTTTTGAGAGCTACGATTGCCAGTTGGTTCCTGAAGTCATACGCAATAATAGTTTTAGACTTATCCAAGTGGGAGACTGTTGGATTAATGTCTAAGTCCATAACTATAATTGGTAAGACTTGACCCGACCCGGCATGGTCCATTTGGGTTGCATACCATCATGCACTTGGATAGACTATAATGAGAGAAATAAGACACTTATGGTTATTAATATATTATAAGTTCTAGTATATTAATAATAAGAATAATAAGATTATTAATTAGTATTGATCAAGAATTAATCTAGGATTAATTAAGTGATCAAAAGAAGACTAATTAAATATATGGGTTGATTGTGTAAATCATCCATACTTATATAGTGGGCTAATGCTCCATGGATAATCAAGTTGGGCTAAAACCCATAGGATGGTCCATGGATGCTCCATGGTGTATTTGAACCCATGGATCCAAGGAAATGGAAAGCCATGACAATTAAGGATTTACCCTAATTGTAACACTATATAAAGATCTTATTCTTGACAAAAATCGGCCACTAGTATTATTCTAGAGAGGGCTAGCCGATTTCATGAAGTGTAGAACTCTCTCAAGTTATTCTAAGTGTTTTGATGATTGTGATTCCATTTGAGGCTTCCACACTATTGGGGCTAGGCACTCAAGCTTCATGAAGACTTTCTACATCAAAGAGGTATGTATTCTATCTTGTTATATTCATGTTTTGTATGATAGATTAGGATAATACCTTGGATATTCTTATTTGCATGTATAATAGAGAAAACATAGATCCAAGGTATTTAGGGTTGCATGTACACTTAGGAGTGTTAGAATGCTCAAAGCCCAACAACTTGTGGCTCAAAGCATCCGCTACCACATTCGCTTTTCCCGGATGATAAAGGATCTCATAGTCATAATCATTGACTATGTCCAGCCACCTATGTTGCCTCATGTTCAGGTTCGACTGATCCATAATCTGCCTCAAACTCTTGTGATCCGTGTAGATAGTACAACGAACCCCATAAAGATAATGCCTCCAAATCTTGAGGGAAAAAACCACTGCCCCCAACTCTAGATCATGCGTGGGATGCCTCGTCTCGTGCGGCTTCATCTGTCGCGATGCATATGCTATCACACGTCCTCTCTGCATGAGGACCACCCCAAAACCAGTGATAGAAGAATAAAAAAAATACCACGAAATCCTTAATTCCCTCTGGAAGGGTCAAAATCTGGGCCTCACATAATCTTTGCTGAAGGGTCTCAAATCCTGACTGCTGCTTAGGGCCCCATCGGAAATCCCCCCTTCCTCGTCATATGAGTGAGGGGCACTACAATCTTGGAGAAATCCTGAATGAATATCCGATAACACCCTGCCAACCCCAAGAAGCTCCTGATATCCGAGGGAAATTTTGGAACCTCCAACTGCATCACCACCTCAATCTTGGCCGGATCGACCAATACCCCATCCTGGTTAACGAGGTGTCCAAGGAATCGAACCTCTCATAACCAAAACTCGCACTTTGAGAACTTAGCATGAAGCCATTCTCGCCTCAAAACTCCCAGAAGCTCGCGAAGATGCTCCTCATGCTGCCCTTTGGTCTTGGAATATACAAAGATATCATCAATAAATACAATAACTGAACGATTGAGCATAAACCCGCATACCCGATTCATCAAATCTATAAATAACACATACGCATTGGTGAGCCCAAATGACATCACCACGAACTCCTAATGCCTATAACGAGTCTGGAACGCGGTCTTCTCCATCTCCTCCTCTCTCACCCTGATCTGATGGTACACACACCTTAGATATATATTGGAGAACCAAGATGCACCCTACAATTGATCAAATAGATCATCAATCCGCGGAAGGGGATAACGCTTCTTCACCATTATCTTATCTAACTCCTGGTAATCGATACACATCCATTATGAACCATCCTTCTTCTTAAAGAATAAAATAGGCGCTCCCGATGGAGAACTACCCAGTCTAATGAAATCTTGCCTAGAAGATCCTACAGTTGAGATGACAACTCCTACATCTTAGGCAGTGCCAAGTGGTACGACGCCTTGGCAATCGGGGCCACACCTGGCATGAGGTCAATCCTAAACTCGACCTGCCTCTCAGGAGGCACATCGATTAACTCCTCCAGAAATACATCGCAAACTCCCTGGAAACCGGGACCTCTAAAATTGAAACCCGATCCTCAACATGTGTATCCAACACATAAGCCAAACAACCCGCACACCCGTGTTGAATACACTGCCGAGCTCTGGCTGCAGAACAAAACCCTGAACCCGTCCTGGTGCCCTCTCCATAGATAACGAATTCTCATCCACTGGGGATTCGAACTACCACACGTTTTCCCTCACAATCAATCATAGCACCAAAACGACTCAGCTAATCCATACCCACAATCACACAGACATAACCCATGGGGATAGGGATCATATCGATCGGATAAGAATCGAGACATGAAGGATCAACGTTGGCGATAGAGACTTGCAACGGACACTCTAGCTCCCCAATAGGCATATCAAACTCCCTAATGAACGATTGAGACATGAAGGATCAATGCACACCCGAGTCAAACAACACTCGAGTAGCCAAAGAGTTCACTAGGAACGTACCTAACAGAGGTACAAACATAATCATAACACAAAACATAATCAAAATAATAAGGGATAGAAACATACCCGTCACTACATCTAGAGATGCTTTGGCCTCCTCTGCAGTAAGCTGGAAAGCGCGATCTTGAGCCCTCAGGGGCTCCACCCTGCCATGACTCCCATTAGTGATCCTCAAAGTAGCCGGCGTTGGCGCCTGCACCGGCCTAGCAGAAAGCGATGTGCAGTTGACCGTCACATGTCCAACCTGGTTGTAATGATAACAAATCCTGGAACTGAGTGCTGGGACCTGCCAACAGAAATCCCTTGCCATATGGCCCTGCCGGCCACAATTATGGCACCCAGATGATGATGGACAAGCACCCTCATGCACCTTGCAACACTTCTCACAAGTACGGACCTTCCAGCCCCCAGATCTGACATCAGTGGTCTTAAACCACTTTGGCGCAGACTGTGACTACGGCGGGCCCAACCTCTACTCCTTCTTCTACAAATAAATCTCAATGTCACGCCGCCTGGTGACCTCCTGCATCTCCAAAATGTACCATAACGTTGAGTAGAAACAAACCGTCTGATCTCCGTCTTGAGCATGCTCAAGTAACGGGTCATTTGAGCCTACTCATGAACATCTTGGTGATCTCAGTCACCGTCTCAGAAAATCCAGGTACTCCTGAGCCAACCTCTCTCACTCCATGAGCGGCACATAACGAGAGCAGAACATCTCAGAGAACTGCTCCCAAGACACAACAACTCTCTGCTCAGTAGAATATGAACTACTAGCAAGCCTCCACCAATCCTTTGCTCCGGTCTTGAGGAGGTTCAGAGTACACCTGACCTTTTTTCACCTGGACAAGAGCAAGTGAAGAAACATCCCTCTATATCAGGTATCCACCTCATGGCGATGATCAAGTCCTGCAACCCATCGAAAATTGGGGGTTTCATATTATCGAAGACCCGATACTGAAAAACACGACCCGATCCAACTCCTACAGTCGTAACGGCTACAGGAGCAGTAGCCTCAGACAAAGCAGCATAGCGCTCATTAAAGTACTCAATCATGGCAGTCCTTATACACCTAAACATCTCTAGAAAATGAGCTCGGAAACGAACAACAACATCCTCCTGTAGGATCTCTTTGATCTTGTCATCCAACGCAGCTGACTCACCCTGACGGCCAGCTCCTGATCCTAAACCGGACCCAACCTCAACTCGATGTGTAGTCACCATACTAAAAAATAAACCAGGAGGATATCAGATAACACACATATCATAATGAGGAATAAACTCCCAACAAAGCCCTAGGGGCTATGACTTCCTTCTTCATTACTAGAAAAACAGCCTTTTACGACGCTCATTTTACGACGCTCATTGCACGTCGTAAAAGGCTCAGACGACGCGCAAATGCGCGTCAAGGAAGGCCCTGTCATAAAGAGAGACGACGCGTGTTTACGACGCTCATTTACGACGCGCAATTACGACGCGCGTTTACGACACGCAATGCGTATCAAGGAAGGCCCTGTCATAAAGGAAGACGACACGCGTTCGCGTGTCGTAATCTTACGACGCGCGTGTTAATGACACGCAATGCGTATCAAGAAAGCCCCTGTCAAGAAAGGCCATGTCATAAATGAAGATGACTAACATTTTTGCGTATCGTAAATTTAAATGTTTAAAAAAATAAATTTATATATTTATTAATTTTTAAATTAAATTTGCATTTAATTTCTCATAATAGAAATAAAACACCATATACAAAAAATACAATCCATTGCACAAAAATTAATGTCATACAAGATACAAAATAGAATACAATAAATAAGTAAGATAAGTCATTGCATAAAATGTCAAATACAAGTAATCATCGGTAACTATATAACCTAATACTACATTGCTATTAAGGGACATCCTCATAACTCACTGAAGGTCTTGGAACAATGTTCTCATCATCAAATCTTACACCAACCTTGCTTTAGTAGATGACTTTCACACAATCAATATTGAAATAGATGCTGCCCGAACTTTCCGAGTTCAAACTTCCACTGTTTGCTTCATCTCTGCTAACCTCTTTCTGCTCCACGAACACAAAAGAAAATGAAACCATGAAAATATCACATGAAATTTAATACCCTCATAAAATGATATTAGGATTAAGGGAGTTGAAGGTACTTGTATTCTTCGAGGAAACAACTATCATCAAGATCATCTTCTAAATCTTTGAGTTCTTCTGTCTTGTTATCGATCCGAGATTTGGTTTTAGGTTTGGAATCTTTGTCTTCTGCAGGAGTGAAGGGATCGGGTTTGAAGGCAGAGGGTTTGGGAGGTAAGTTCCTGAGTTTTCTTTGAATATCATCTCATTGAGTTGATACTCCTTCAACATCTTTGTAGACAAAGTGAAGATCAGCTTTATCACTTGGCTCCCAAGATCTCTACATGCATAAGGAATAATGGGTATTAAGACTTAAGAGATTACATAATAAAAGTTATAGAATCTGAATTACAATATAGATCATACCTTCATATATCTTTCCTGCCCATCAAAAGCCATTTGTAGTTTCAGCTGACTTCTGGTAGAAGCTACGATTAAAAAAAAAAGCAATTAAGTTAGCTTTATCAAATTTAATACATGAATTTGGTAACTTTTTAAGGAAATTGATAAAATAGTAAGAACATGTGTCTCCAAAGAGCCAAAACCTCCTTCAGAATCAAGAATGTTGATTAGCCCTTCTAATCCTCCCATGATTGACTCAATGAGCGACTCAACATATAAAACTGCATCTCGACCAATTCTAGTTAACTGCATCAACCAATCAATATTCAGTAAATTTCCCTTGAAAAGATAAAATAAAATTTACATATAAAATTTAGAGTAAGTTACACTTTCGGCCCCTGTTCCAAGTAAAGTTGGGAACAAGAACCAAAAATGTTACAAGCCTTCTTTTCCAGTAGACCATTCCCTTCAGATAACAAGCCTTCTTTTCCAGTAGACACTGTTGCTTTCTCCAAATGTCTTATGTTAATTGAAGATCGTGCAGAAGTAACAATCATTAAAATTGATAACCAATCTTTACATAATTCCTTTTTATGTAATTTTTTTTAATACATTATATACATGAGTATAAATATAAATAAATAAAACAAAACCATGTCACATATTTGAATGGATTAAAATTAAAGATTATACTTACTGATAAATCACATGTAATTGCAGAGATATTTCCACCCTGTGGTTTTGGAATATTTTCAAGATGGTCAATTTTTTTTGGAAAAGCCCTATTAGAGTGGTGTCCATGTCAAGAGCATGATATTAACTGCATTGTCAACTATCATTCCAGGTATAACCTTCATCAACACTTGCACAACATATTCCCTCTTGTTGTAGTTGTCATTGTGTAGCATCACTCTATATGGTGGTGCCATTTTCCTTGATTTCCTAAAAAAAAAAGGTAAATCGACCTAATCTTTTACTATATGCATTTCAAACTTCATTAAAAGTGATACAATACCTCAAGTCAAACTCAGACTCTCTTCCAGGAGTTGCTTTCTCTATTACTGGCTTATCTAACACCCCAACACCCTTTTCCAGCCTTGGAGGTGCCATTGTCATAACTGTGATCTATTTTGTGCTTTGTTTATGAAGAAGGTATTTATCCCCTGTGTATGGTAGAGTAATCTGTTTATGACAATTATTTCTTAGAGCAAAGTAACAATTCTGATAACAAATAGAAATGTTAAGATGTCTGTGAAGTAAAAAGAATGATTATTGGTTAAGATTCAGCATGCTAGGTGTATTCAGTAAAAACCGGACGCGGACCGCTGAAGATGACGGGTAGTATAAACCATACCCTCTCACAGCTGTAAAAACATTGTGTAAATATTTAAACCCGAGCCTTAAGGGTAAAAAGGTAATTATACATTTTATACCCTCACCTACAATGTATTCGTGGGATCATTTGCATTCTACACGTGTTGACAAGTCAAACTTGTTAATTAATATTATATATATATATATATATATATATATATATATATATATATATATATATATATATATATATATATATATATATAGAAAAACAATAATTTATGAAGTAATATCTGCCGCCACCTATTCACAGAAGCTCTCTCTTTGCATCATAAAAGTCACATGGCCTGCCATAATATGGTCTTTTGCACCCATCCTCACAAAGATACGATCAACGGGGAGACATCTTAAAGATTTGCGCAGGCACATCTGCCCCCACCTGGAACATCCATCCATAACTAACTATATGAATATTGAAAATAATACCTAATTGTATGAACATCCATCCATAAATAACTGGAGATCCTGTTTCAATATCAATTGCAAGAATAGAACAATTTGGAGAACCAGTGAGGATCACTGATGACAAAAACACACATTCAAAATCAAGTTTAAAGAAACAGCAACTATGTTGCTACTGAGGGTAAAAAGTAAATTACATGGTTCAACAATATATAAAGTATAAACAATGTTGGTTCATTACCAAGTCCTTCATTGATAAATCTAACAGCTCTACAAGATTCACTGTGTGCACGAACTTTCAACACCCTGAAATGATAGTTTTTAGAGAAATCACATTATAAGAACGGGTTTTAATGACGAAATTACCCCTAAAAAATGTTATCTAACAAAATGAGAGTCAACTACCTCATGGTGAGCGGATTCTTCAAGTGTATCTTTCCTGAAAGATGAAAGCCTGGAAGAAGCTGCAGCAGCAGTAGTTGCCGTTGCAAGCACATCCTGGGCTTCCTTGTGCCTTCTCTCTTTTCTCCCCTGTTTCTTGACTTCTCTAAGCTCAAAAAGATATTGGCTCACCAACAGAGCATCCCGGTTTCATTTTCTTAGTGTCTCAATCTCTTCTAGAAGAACCTTGATCACCTTTGAAATCAAATAATCTAAAACAATAAATAAAAAATCATCACAAAGTAAAACATCCTACCTTCTTATTTTGATACTTAGTAAGTTGCAATGATTAAATTTTCAAACTTACATGGTATCAAGGATGTCAATCATAGGTTTAAACAATCATGGTTCCCAAGATTGGAATTCACCCTGGTATCACATTTAGATTCTATAGCCTCAGTTTGACCACTGTCAGAATTATTGACCAACAAATCAGAAGCAGGACAGGATTCTGTTGATATCTGCAAGAAAAAAAAGTTAAAGTTATTGTTAGATTCTCAAAGCCACCAATCTATAATCATCAATATACAATCACAAAGTTGATTATGTGACAACCTTTTCCATAGAATCAGGAGAAGACTGCCCCTGCTTATCTATAATGAAAGATTTATAATTTGGCTACCCTTAAAATCCTTTCCCTTCTCCACCTTTTCATCTTTTTTCCTAGAATCCACACTCTCTTTCCTATTATGCCCCTGCTTATCTACAATGAAAGATTTATTATTTGCAGCAACAAACTCCTGTTTCTTTTGATGATTCCAATGGCTAACACTCCCCCTATTCCAATTCCCACTATGACTTCTGTTATTCCAACCTTTATTACCCTTATTAACACTATTATAGCTTCCTCTTTTGTTATTCCCTCCATTCCAATTACTACCTTTGCTTCCAGAAACATTGGGATGAATATCACCTCTACCGTACCCCTTCACAGTAGCAGTCCCTGCATTTCCAGCTTTTTTTGTGACCATAGTGAACCCCTCACCATCTTTATCAATTCTAAGCTTTTACCTATTCAAAATAGACGCCCATCAGTAATTAACTTCAACATTTTCATTTGATGATCTGTCAGATGGATTTATGTCAGTTAAACTGAAACAAGATACATTGGCACTCACATTGTCAACTGGTGAATATGATTTCATGTAAAAGTAGAACTCTTCTTTCCGAGGATCACCCCATTCCTACAATAGAGCAAGTCATTCACATTTAGAAAGAAACATACTAATATCATCATAGCATCCTGCTTTGAGTTTCCAAAACAAAAAAAATATTATATATAAATCACCTCCCATTCTGCAGTTGTAAGAGGAATAGTTGGACCAAGCATTGTAGTCACAACATCTACAAATGGTACTCCAGCTACAGTAGCCTTAAATATATCAGGTCTCATGTTCACAACAACACCAATAAGCAACCCCCTGCACTTCTTCCATTAATGGACAACTTTTCTTTCGTACAATATTTCTTTTGGTCTGAGAAGTTTGAGTTTCACCTATGTCGTGGGGTGATTGAAGGCGATGAGGCTGCGTTTTCTTCTTAGAGAGAGGGAGGGTAAGAAAGTAAACACAAACCTCACAGATTAGAGAGGTTATCGAAACCAGTAAGGGGAACACCAATGAAAAAATCCAACGGATTATTGAGAGAAAAACTGATTTTTGTTTGTTTAAAAGCTAGCGAAGTATCAAGAAATTTCCAATCCAGGAGAATTCAGAAAGCAGATAGATAGGTACCTGATTTGACTAGAAGCGCAACTGGACTAGGGTTAGTAAATTTAAGGAGTCGTTGTAGATGGAGTACGGTAGAGGTGAAGAGGAGTTCAGTTACGAATTTTATGTTGAAATTATTGTGTCTAAATTTCGCCATAAAGAGACGATCGAGAGAGAATGGTCTTCGATTTTTGGAAGGAAACGAGGCTGTTACAGAGAGGGGGGATCAGACTCACATGGAGATCTAAGGAGAGAGTGAGCGGTCTTCGATCTGATCGAGAGAGAATCATCACCATAAAGATACGATCGAGGAAAATCGTCTTGAGAGGGGAAATTATTTGGGAAGAACTTGAAGCATTTGAAACCCTAGACCTTGATTCGATGTAACTTGACAGTGGACATTGTAGATTGATAGATTGAAGACCTGGAGCGATCCCTTGTGAAGAAAGTTGCGCGATTACAGAGAGTCCTTGTTGACCGGATCCAAAGATTCCGTCAATGGCTCTATTGGGTTTGGCTAAATCCCCAGTTTGGAATGTGCTACATCTGGTTCACGAACTTGCCAAGTCAATTAGGGTTTTTTTTAATGAAAAATGAAAGGGGTTAATGGATTAGGATGATGCTGTACCTGAGAAAACAAAGAAAAAGAAGGAGACCTCACGGATCAATTACGATTCACCTTCGAGGTTTACAGAGAGACGGGAGGTAGAGAATGAAGGGAGATCTAGAGGAGAGAGTATCAGAGAGGGGAGAGTGGATTGGAAGGATGAAAAATAGATAGAAGATAGAAAAAACAAGGCGGGTCTTCAAAATTTTAGGGATTTCGTTTCCCCCTTCATTAACTAAAAGCGCGTTTCATTAAAATTATAAAGCGACATGTACAAACGACGCGCGTTTAAGATAAAGCGCCCTCCGTGTTTCTAATTTTTTTTCTTGAGACACTAAATTAAGGGCACGCAATAATGCGTGACGTAAATCCTTAAATTTTTTGGAGAGATAACACTATTTTAAGGGCACGTCCTATTGCGTATCGTTAATCAGCGCGTGTCGTAAAAAGCGCGTCATTAAAGGTCTATTTTCTAGTAGTGCTTACACGTACAAGTCATGTGCTTTCAGTAGTACGGCCCCGTACTACCTTCCACACCTACCCGTATTTGTCTCAGAGGATCATCACAACACCCTAACAATACTCTCTAGAATAACCATACTCTCAATCCCCACACCCTAGAGGAAGGCTATATATATATATATATATATATATATATATATATATATATATATATATATATATATATATATATATATATATATATATATATATATATATATCAAAATGGCCGGCTGACCCCACACCACCAATCCATGAAACTTCCACCAACCATGTAGTACTCGTGTATGCTAGCTATGCATAACACTGGATCAAAAAGACAGTCAGATATCTGATCCTACCCGATGCCCTTCATCAAACAAGAATAAGAAATAAAGCAAGACCAAACATTCTCAAGCTATAAAATCTTGGTTATGCACGACCATGATGCATACACTATGCAACTACAGTAATGATGTCAATTCCATTAAAGAAGAACCCTACGGTATCAGACATTATATAATCAGACAATTCTATCATGCAAAAGATGGAATTTCACTGCTAACCCTATTGTAACTTGACCTGTTGAGTTTTAATGCATGTTTTGGCAAATATATAGTTTCAATATAATTGCAACAAAATGTGAATATGACATCTTATTTTCTGTTGTGGGAAATCTCTAGGAAATTACAAACACAAACTGTAACTCTAGTTAATACGTTTGAAAAATTGAAATTTCGTATTAAGCATTTGTGAGCGAAGAAAAAACACACTAGTCTCGTAGTTCATGTTTAGCTACGTTCGAAAATATAAAGAAGGTCCAAAATGGAGTTCGTATGCAAAACATCCAACTGTTTTAAGAAACCAAACCGGTATAACACTGATTTTACCTAATCTGCGTAAAGCATTTTAATCCATTGAGACACTTGTACAACTCAGATGGAAATTCCGAGAGCGTTTTTGGACTCAGACTACGGTCTAATATTTTATTTCATACTTGAAATCTTTTTTGTAAAAATATTTGTAAAAGTCGAAAAATCAGGTGTTTCAGATAAATTAGACGTGAAACTTTAAACGTAATTTACCGGAGTTTTACAAATCGAAAAATTTATCCGTTCATGTTTTTGGAATCCTTTAATTACATTCTATCATTCGCTGCCTTTAGAAAAATTATTTGATGATAGGATTAGACGTGCGAAACGAAAACCATTTTTGTGACATTTTAATGCCACAAGTGAACCATCCATTTTAATATATTAAACTAATTTTGGTGGACTTTAAAATGCCCAACCATGCATCCTCTATATATATATATATATATATATATATATATATATATATATATATATATATATATATATATATATATATATATATATATATATATATATATATCCTCTCTCTCTCTCCACCTTGGACTTTTGTTGAAAGTCAAAGTCATAGTATTAGGGAGAAAGTCCAATAAATTGTTTTATACAAGGCTAAAAGAATCAAATACAAAAGGGTGAAAGATACTAATGTGCTATTTGTTTTTTTGTCTACAGATCTTCTTAGCCTCTTCTGTCTGTGCTACGCAGACCACACACGGACATTATGCTTTCCAAACTGTTTGTTTTTCTGAAGATTGCAGACCTAAAAATGTATGTGCTTCCTTTTCTTGGCGCAGATGTGGACGAGAATCTTCAAACCTCTCCAGGCATCTTCTAGCCTAAAACACATATATTTTAGTGTTTTATTTAACTTAGATTCAATTGAAAAAAAAATTACAATATTTAAAGAAAAAAGGTTCGAAGACACAATCATGACTTTTGTAACAAATTTATAAATAAAAATTTAATCACAATAATGTTTGTTAGAGCTGTTTATTCAGATATGCAAAAAATCGTAATATTATCTTATATGTTTGTACCAAATTTTATAAAACATTATTTAATGCTCTAGTATTCATTTCTTGAAATAAATATTTATGGTCTGTTTTTAATTGATTTAATTGAAAAGGTAAAAAGGAAAATTTGAAAATTACATTTAAAATCAAAGTTTCTTTCCATCCATTTTATATGTTAAATAAAACTCCCTCCGTCCCAAATTGATAGTCCACTTTTGACTTTTTAAGTCTTTTTTTCTTTAACTTTGACCTTAAATATTTTTATTTGTGTTATATATTATTTGATAAAACTTATAACGATGAAAAAACATTTAAAATACAATCTATTCATATATTTTGCATCAAATATTATCTATCAAAAACAAAAATATTTAAGGTCAAAGTTAAAGAAAAAAAACTTCAAAATTCAAAAGTTGACTATCAATTGGGGACAGAGGTAGTATAAGTGTTTAGCCGCAAACTCAATTCATTTCTCACTTTTCAAACCGTAAACACCTTCAGTTTGCTCTCAAGTATCATCCGAAAATCTTCATATCTTCATAAAATATTATCAATATCTTCATAATTCCACCAAGAACACCAAGAACAATCTTCAAATCTTCAAGTTTTCCTCAAGAACACCAAGAACACCACTAAATATTCATATCCCACCGAAAACCCTAGGAACAACGAAATGCCAAGAAACCCCCTCAATTAATTCCTGACACTTTTTGTAAGTATTTCTTACATAATTAAGTGTTGTCTAACACTTAATTTATTATTTAATTTATTTAAATTAATATCTTATTAATTTAAATACGATATCGTGTATAATTATTATTAGGACACGACTACACATGCAGGTTCTAACCCGATGATCATCACTACCACTTCGCATCCAAACACAAACTTACATTCGAGGTGAGTTCATAGCCCTACGTTTTCACTATTTTTCAATGTTTTTACCGGGGGGATACAAGTAAAACACAAGGACTGTTGTGTTAACATTCAAACGATTTCAAACCGTTTATAACCATTTGCAATTGTTTCAAACTGAATTATTGCTACATTATGTATATATATATATATATATATATATATATATATATATATATATATATATATATATAATGTTCAACAGACTTAGAATTGGCAATTCCGCCCTAAATCATGTTCCTTGTCTGGTTGTGGGTTTAGAATAGAATTACTTATTCGACTGTCTGTTCACTCTTAATTATATATGCTGTGAGTATATATGAATATAAAATATAATTCATTATATTGTTTACCCTTTTATAACATGTCGAGCTAAAGGATCTTTTTTTTTCACAAATCTCTTACTACCGCTTTATACACACTGTTAAATTGCAAAGGTTTTCAGTTCGTTATAGAGCATACATTTAAACTATAATAGGTACAGTTTGTGAATCACTACACTACTTTACTAAGTTTAAGAAACGATACAAGAACATACTTTTAAACTATAATAGATATAGTTTGAGAAATTCTACACTATTTTTCAAGCTCAAGAACACTATACAGAAACAAGTATATAAACTATAATAGGTATAGTTTATGGAACACTATTCTATTTCACTAATTCAAGGATACACTACTAAAATAATTATTTAAGTATAATTATTTTACATTACAAAGTACACTACTACAAGGTAATAATATAATTTCAAGTACAAGAGATCACTATAACATTACACGTAAACAAGTTAATACAG